GAACAAAAGACAAGGAAGAAAGCTGGGAGTATATGTATAAGGAGTTGGGGTATTGAGTGTATGGAGAGATGCAAGATAAAGTTGGAGGGTGGATCATAATGAAGAAGAAGTTAAACTTCAAGGAATAAGTATTCTCACATTACTTGGTAGAGTGGCGGCTTTCTTGACTGTTTATGGTCAGCTAAATGACAAAATTATAGTTCCACATTAGGAAGAGGCATTCGACAGCAGGCTATAAAATTGGTGGGAGAGGGAAGAACAATTTCAGAGTGGAATTTAGAAGCCAGGGACTGAGTTAGAGAAGTGGCTGTGGAAAATGAAAGAAAAGGAGAATTTAGGAAACAATGAGGACTGAAAGTGTCTGGACTCACTGGCTGAATGTGAGAAATGTAATGAAAAAAGGTAGAGAAGGCATTAAAAATATTATCAGCATGTTGATCTAGGAGAATGGGATGTCCTGAAAAGTTAAAAAAAAGAAAGGGGGTGGAGAATTTATGAAAGATGACTTTGATTTTATATATGGGGATTTTAAATATTAACTCAATACAGAAATATTTTTTTAGTGTCAGGTCCAACTTATTTTATTTTCAGAACTTTAAAAAATATTATTGTCACTTTGGCTGTACTGTTTCTCCTTGAGAAGAAAATTTAAGCCATCTGTCACTGCCATATAATTTCCTTTCTCACTTTGTGCTCCTATCTCTATGATATTTATACCCTGTAATCATGTTATCCCTCTTCAGAATACACATGGTTGGTTCTCTGGTCTCTTCCCCTGCATTCTGCCTTGTAATCTGCATTTCGTTTTGAATGGTCTCACTGATCTGGCTAACCTTGTACCACCCCACACCATGACCTTGCTGGGACTATGTTGCCTGTGTCTGCTTGAAGGGCAGGATGGAATGCTGCCAGGAAGAGGCATGTCTGGAATCAAGATTTAATAAAATATTTCATGTCACATTGGATGGGAATGGGTAGTGGGTACACTGTAGATTCTTTTAAATTATTTGGTTTAAAACTTAAAACTTGGGCAAGCTGCCATTTTCTGTGGGCATTGAGAGATAATTCGAAATTTGGTCACACAAATCAGCATGTTTACTATGGTGTGCCAAATGATCATTTGTTCTACTTTTTAAAGGGATTTTTAAAGTTAAAATGTTGTTTGGCAATCTAATGATGATTCCGAACAATTATAATTGCCTTTGCCCTATGTTATAGATGCAAAATACAAAATTATTATCATTTATTATTATTTTTAATTGTTGACACTATTTCAGATATCCCTCATGTTTCCTTATAGGGTCATACTTTTTCAGTTGTGATTCTAGTCCTTCTTTCAGTATCGTCACTCTATTCTTTCTGGTAACTATACACCAGATGAAATACTGATTGGAGATAGTGCCAACTTGGATTTTATATACAGACAGTCCTGACTTATGATGAGGCTTACAATGTTTTGACTTCCTGATGGTGTGAAAGTGATAAGCATTGAATAGAAACCACACTTTGAGTTTTGATCTTTTCCTGGGCTAGTGATACGCAGTATCACTCTTGCAACGTAGGCCAGCCATAGCAAACCACCATTCCCAGTCAACCACACGATGAGGAGGGTAAACAACTGATACTCTACAGTGTGCTTGTTGGCAGAGTTGTTTTTTTTCAATTTTGCTTTGTGTTTTTGTCAACAAAACTCCCACCTCCTTCTCCTACTTCTAGTTAGAAGGAGAGAGGAAGTCAACTACAGATATTCCTTGACTAATGATGAGGTTGTATGCCAATAGTTCTGATCATGTATAAAGTAGGCTAGGCTAAGCTCTGATGTTTAGTTAGGTGTGTTAACTGTATTTTAGTAAAGCAAATGCACTTTCAATTTTCTGAGATTTTTCACTTTACAATGGGTTTATTGGGACATAATCCCACTGTAAATTGAGGAGCATCTGCAATTACATAAATAATAACACATGATTAAAAAGGTATTTATGGAAGACCACATTTTTTCAAGGTTTTCTGCTCTTAATATGCACATCATCAACAATAACTGAAGGATGTTTTGTTTGAAGGAGTAATGTCAAACAGCATAGACCTCAATGTGCTCATTCTTTAGAGATTAAGTATTGAAAAATCCATGACTGAGCAGTACAGAGACATTCCAACTTTCACACTTGCTGTGTATAATTCTGGATTCTCCATTCTAAAATGCTTCTTTTCCAAAACTAGTGATTCCCTAATAATGTGCTCTTAATTACATTCTCTCTTCTTACAATAGCAATATTTAAATATCTGTCTTTTTGCTGTGTCCTGCCCTCTAATCCATATACTGTTTTTAATGCGTGGCTGGTTAACGGCAACCCCACTGAGACAAGGCTGTCTGCACCATGAGAAGGGCAGGACTCCTGCTGCCCAGAAGTCTGCATCGGATGAAAGGGCAGGGAGACTACTTCATGCTCAGGGGAATTTCTCAGCAAGTAATTCTAAAACATTTGGATTGTGTAATCAAGAAAGATTTTGCTGTTTTCTGGTAGCAACAAAATTTCTCTTTATTATAGGAACAAAAAAAGAGAAAAAGGATAAAAGAAACTAGAGCAATATTTCTTTTTTGTAGTCATTGCTATGAAAAAATAAAAAGGGAATTTTAAAGAAACACACGAGTTCTTTATGTTGCCCATATTAGAGTAAAAATAATAATCCTTTCAAATTACTCTATGACCTGCTTTGACTTCAGCTTTTGACTGTTCACTTTTCTGTTGTCCTTGCTCATCATGACTCACAGACCCCAAATGCCAACCTCAGGCTGGGGTTTCTCGACTAGTCTATTATTCTTTCACTGGCTCAGTAAAACCAAAGGTAATTTTCTACAGATGGAAGATTAAAGTAAGGTTATGGGATATAGCTAAACATAAACCTACAGACTTCTAAGTGACAAATTCCTTTCTAGATTAAAATGTTGAAAACATGTTTTCCTTTAAAAAAAGTCATTGAACTGGAGACACACGTCATATCTATTGGTATTAACATTTATTTCCAGTGGATAGGAAAATAAATTATGTGGAGAACTTACAAACTTAAGATAGAAATTCTTTGGAATTTACAAACTAGATTAACTGGTTCACAAACTACCAACTCAATATTTAAGTCCATGTTCACCATAATTGATAATTCCAGTCATGAGTACAAAAGTGGGTGTGATGCTCGGTAAAGGGAGAATGTGAAAACATGAAAGGAGAAAAAACTGTAGCTTCTACAGTCTACCCTACAACACTGTGAAACTTGGATCAGTTCTCCTTTTTGTATTATCTGTCAGAAATACTGTAGTCAGATATTTGCTAACTGTACACATATTTATGACATGTTTTTTGTGCACTAACCTTATTCATGATTAATTCTTATTTTCTTATCTTTTTTCTTGTAAACTAATTTTAAATTGAGTTTAACTTATATTGCTTGTAATGCTTTTTAAATCTAGTTTGGAGCTGGATGTGGGACTCATAAAGTTAAAATTTACTTGCAAAGACAAATTTTCTATAATATACATTTCAAAAATGTTTAAACAATGGTCTACAAATAATACTTTGATTAAAATGAGGATTGTATCATATGTGCATTAACATTTCTCAATTTTTCTATATAGTAAAAATAGAAGATTCTAGATCTTAAAGTTCCAAGATTTCATTCCAGACCAGGTCAAAGGTCCAATATAGTTTTTCAGCCTATTTCTGCTAGACAAAGACTTTTGTAGCCAGAGGGAAAATCAACTAAAGCAATGGAGCCAAGGGGGCGGGGAATGCTTCACTGACTTTCAGAACCTGAGCCAGTTTATATTTGGTATTGATGGTTTCTAATAACATCTTTTCTCTCAGATCTTTAGTGTCTTCCCAGTCCGTTCAGTAACATTTACTGAGCACCCCAGATTATGCTGAATATATGCTTGGGTCTCCATCTTTGCCTGAAAGAAATCTATTCTGTCATAGCTAGTTTAAAATAGATTGACCTGCGGGGTGCAGGTATTTCAGCTCAAAGTAGTTGTCTCCACAATGTCAGATGGTGAAAAAATGCCTAATGTTATAAAACCTGTTTTCTCCTCTGGGACGTTGGTAGAGGGCCTATCTTCCCACAGTATCCTCTGGGAACATACTTTCTGTGGGAGACTGTCACAGTTCTTCACAGTACCTCCTAACATGATATGAGATCTATTTCTTTACCTGCTTGAATTTGGACTGCTCCTGCAACTAGCTTTGGTGAAGAGAACACAATGGAAATTAAGTTATGTAGATATAAATGTGACTTTCAGGAAGCTTTTCACATTTCTGGTGACATCCTCGAGTCCCTGTAACAACCATGTGAGCAAGTCTCATTCTGGTAGAGAGTAGGAGACACACAGAGCAGAGAGAAGCCATCCCAGCTGAGACTCAGTCAACAGGCAGCCTCTAGGTGGCTGCCATCTGTCTGTATACCATGAATGAACCCAGGCAGAATGAGCACTGATCCTCGGTCAGTAGGAATATTTAGCTAATCCTTAGACACATAAACAAGAATATATGATTGTTGTTTCAAGTCATTAAGCTTGTTAAGCTTGGCGGGTATACATAATTGATCACATTTCTTAAAGATCCTCTGAAAGTTGTCTGTTTTCGGCTCAGCTCTTCCTTCCTCTTCATGCTGATCATTGTGAGTTTAAGCTGCCATAAACTTGCAGGTAGTTTATATGAATGGGAAGCTTCTAGGCCTAAGTGAGATGACATCAAGTACAAGCACTGGATCTTGCTATTCCATTGTGGCTGAAAACTCAAGAAAAGTAGCTTTTCTGCTTTCTCAAAGCACATTAGCTAAAATAGCCTCAAGACTGGCAGACAACACACAAATATGCAGAAAAAGCCACTCCATGCTTTGTTTTTCTTATTTGTTCTATTATTTAATACAATTTATCTTCAAGAAAATTGGTTTTGTCTTAGATAAATTCTTTGTTTTAGTTTTTAGACTTATATTCTCATGTTTTCTTCCAGGAGTAAGACTCACTGGCTTCAAGTAGCCTAAGTATCCATTCATCCCTTGCTCTATACATACGGCCAGCAGTACTGAGGACATGGTCAGTGAATTCCTTTATTTCATGTTAAGCTTTTATTTTGTGCTTGCTTAAGGTAATAAGAGAGAGAATTCTGTGAGAAGTCTAAAAATTTTAATACCTATAGCTCTAATCTGTCTTCACTGCTGAAATATGCTAGATGATATCAGAGACAACATGAGTATAAGAAATGAAATTTCAAATCTATCATTAAAGTAAACATGACAAGGAGAATGTTCTAGTTTTTGACTAAATATTTGCCTAGATTTCCCATTTCATTTGGAAGGCCATTAGGAAATTATACATATACACACACACACACACACACACACACACACACACACACACACATACACACACCTTCCTGAGTCACAGAAGCAAGAAAATTAGCTGGTTTCTAGCAAACTAATATAACCTACTTGGAGATTCATTTTACCCCTTTCACTGCCACATGACCTCTCTTGAAATCTAATGTCTAATAATCTTGAAAATTAATTCATACCAGTTTTATTAATATGCCATATTTTTGTCACTTCCTTTTCAAAGAGATACCTGTTTGTAGCTGTTGGAATTCTTCAGTCCCTAACTCTGAAGGAGAGGCTAATTAATGATAAGAATTTCTGGCACTGTGTATTTGTTCAGGGAGCCCAGCGACAGGCTTTGTATCATGTTTGTTATGGGCCATCTCTATTTTTAGACAAGAGCCCTTCTGGAGAAAGAACTCCTTTACTCTCTTGTTCTCTCCTGTTATATTCCAACCAGATCAGTGTCTCAGTGCTAAATGTAAGGTCCTTGACATTTGTTACATACATTTTTTTTGTTTTTTTGCTGCTGCTGCTGTTGCTTAATGAGTCAGGAAGAGGAGACGGAGTGTGTGTGTGTGCACACGCATGCATGCTCCTGTGCCTCCATAGCAAGTTATCATTTCATTTCACTTGGTTCCTCATCATAGCAAATCATAGATATTCGTGGTTTGATGCCCTAAAATCTCTGAGGGAGGAGTAATGCTGTTTGCAGCTTGAACCATAGAGAATCACCAAAGCACCATTTTGTAAAATGATTACATCTGTTCAGTACATGATGGCAACATAAGCAACTGCAATCTTTTTGGTTGCTATGGCAATTTGGGCAGGGGGACTAGTTGGCAAGTGAAATAGCTGTTACCCAAAGAGGAGTTTTGGATTTACTGGGTTTATAACTCCATGAATGACACTATAGCTAACTAAACACACATGGGGTCAAAGAGTAAAGGACAAGTAGAATCTGAGTCTAGTAATACTAAGCCTAAGGAATGAGCAGGGAATACAGAATGGCCTTGAATATACATTAAAAAATGTTAACCTTGGTCCTGGCAACTTTAAAAAATTAATAAAAAATTCCAAATGCTTAACTTTTGGTTGCCTACCAAAAGGTAGGCTATATTCTGGGGAAATGACTCTCAGCATGACATTATACATGCACAATAAATTTAAACCTAAAATTTTGAAATGCTGGTGGTGCCAAGGCCAATTTCAGCTGATGTAATTTTCTCAGGTGAAGTTTCAATTAATATAACATTTTAAAGAAATTTATATAGTGATATTAAAGGAAAATCCCTACTGCAAAGCTAGATCACAGCTACATTTTCTGTGATAGGAATAAAAAGGAATACTGATTAATATGAATGAATAAAGTACCCTCTGTGTTAAAACATTAGACATAGGAGGTTAAATTTTACCACCAGGTTCTAACATTGCTTACATGAATTTTTTCATTTACCCATGTAAAACTAGGTTGCATGCTGTATTCAGCAAGGAAAAAGTGCACAGGAAATTTTTGGTGGCAATTTTCAAGTTTAAACTAAAATTGTCTCAATATTTCGCTTTGGAGATGCTATGCAGTGATTTCAAACATGAAAAAATCAGGGAAGGCCCTGAAGGCAATCTCCAATGTCAACATTCATTTGGTGTATACCTGACATTGGGCCTGGCAACTCAAAGAATTCCAAGGCCAGTGTTTCTTATTGGTCTTTCTCCAATTATGTGGTGGAAAAGCAGGATCACTGAGCCACCATCACAAATGCAGACTCTACTAGACCTTACCTAACATATTTGGGGCCAAAATCCCTTGCGGGTGGAGGCTGAGAAAATGCATTCTTTCTCTCTCTCTTCCTTCCTTCCTTCCTTCCTTCCTTCCTTCCTTCCTTCCTTCCTTCCTTCCTTCCTTCCTTCCTTCCTTCCATTAAATTATTTGATTTTAGAGAGAATGGTAGAGAGGGAGAGAAATATTGATGTGAGAGAGAAACATTGACGGCTGCCTTTCCTATGCATGCTGATGGGGAACCAAACACATAATCCAGGCATGTGCCCCAACTGGGAATTGAACCAGTGACCTTTCAGTTTGTGGGAAGATGCCCAACCAACTGAACCCCACTGGCCAGGATGAGAAAATGCATTTTTAGTAAGCTTTCAGAGTGATTCTGAAGTATAGTCAAGTCTGAATACCACTCCCTTGTGGGACATTAGTGGAGAAATACTCTGCAGCATACAATTTTATAAAACACAAATAGTTTCTTAGGATTAATAGATGCAATAATGATTGGACTAGTTAAGAAACAGGGATTATGTCTATTACTTGGGTGCAAGCTGCTTCTGCTGTAAGAGTAGTCAAACAATGTGATGTTTCCAACTCTGTCATTCTCCTTACTGAGTTCTAACTCAGCTCCATCTTTCACTGGTCCAGCCCTACTTGCCATCCCTGGCCTGGTAACCAACCAAACTTCTCTAAGTAATTGGCACCATCAGCAAGCCTTAAGGATTTCTAACTTGTTAAAGTGATCACTGCCATGTTTCTCTGACTTGTATGTGTTCAAGCATTATAGCACATTCAAATATTTTTCAGATTTGATGGCAATGCCTAATGAGCATTCAATCAAGCATGTCTGCTTAGGTACCTCTCTGAACAGATACAGCATGAATGGTGTTGACTGGGGCTATCTCCTGGAAATAGATGATTGATTTATACTTTTAAAATCTTATATACATGTACATATTGTCCATTCTATATACAAATCAAATTAATTTTAAAGTATAACAAAGATTAGCTCTATAATTTTCCTATATAATATTAATTTAGAGATTTAAATTAATTTAGTGACTTAGTGACTTAATCCTTTGAATTTTCTTTCTTTCTAACCCCAGTTAAGTATACAAAATTGAAATTCCCTAAACGGTGAATGAATGTTTTGAAACAGACAAAAGAAGTGTTACGTTGCTGATTTGTAGTATAAAAAATGTATTACTTCACAACTTAAATAATATGTTCTTTTCAGAGTGTTGCATTGTCTTTATTAGATGACATCATTTGATTATATTTCTTTCAGAACCAATAAAACAATTCCCCTCAGACATACAAGGAGATAAAAATCTCTGAAAGGCAGATTGCTACAGGTATTTTAAAATCTAAGTCCTAATTAACAAATACTCTAAGTGGCTGCAGTACCTGGGGCAAAGATTGAGCTACAAACTATTCCATATTAGCTCTGGTGTTTCAGAAAATTCATATTTTGCTCCTGCACAAAAAATGGTTACCTCCAAGGAACAAATTTTAAAAATGAATGTTTTCAAAGCCCCTTCTGTGTCAGTTGAGTACGGACATAATTTTTTTCTTTAAAGTACATTTTGAAAAAAAAAGTTACATAATAAGTGTTTTTTTCACTTAGTCATTGTAAATAATAAGTTAGTATGAGAATTAAATAAAAAAAAGAATACCCAGCCTCTGACAAGCATCAAGCCATCTATTATCAAACCAAAGATGCCACAGATGCACGGACTTAAAAGTGTTTAAAATACTGAAGAGGATCTGCATGGGTAATTAAGTCCTAAAATAGGTTCTGATTATTTCTGTTCTTGCTGATCTTTCCTCTCTGAAATTTTACAGTAACATTGTATCTCAATGATATAATATAACACTTAATCATTCTTTATTCCTTAAATATTATTATATATAAACACAAAATTTTAAATATCAATATATTCAAAATATAAATGTACATATATATCTCTAATATGTATTTATACACATACACTGTATATGAGTTCCATCCAGAAGGTATCCAGCTATGTACTATGAAAAATAGAGACCTTTATTTAAGAAGATACAGGAAACGTTGTGCATAGGAGAATGATGCTTCAGTCCCCTTCAAAGTAGGCACCTTGGGACCTCACACAGTTCTCCCAATCGCCACCAGTTGCCTCATCTTATTTTTCTGAATCTCATCAACAGTCTGAAATCTCTTCCTTTTCAAAGATGATTTTAGTTTTGAGAAAAGCCAGAAGTCACAAGTCACCAAATCTGGGCTTTAGGGGGCCTCAGCTACTTGGGTGATTTAATGTTTCACTAAAAAACTGCATGAGACATGATGCATGAGCGGGTGCATTGTTGTGATGAAGCTGCCAATCACCCATTGCCCATAGCTGTGGCCTTCTGAATCATCCACATAGTTTCCATGGAGAAAGATCTCAGCTTCTCACAAAATTTGATGCAGATTTCTAGCTCTACTCACTCAGTCATTTTGAATGTGACAGATACACAGTACACATGCTCACTCAAGGACTAACCACTAACTGATTACAGTGAAGTTGTCATTGTTCACACATGCACATTCCAGTCCACTCTCCTTGGCTGCCAGGTTACACTGATGTGACAAACTATGCTCATTATATTAACAATGGCTGGACTTTTTCTGGATAGACCATGATCGATATATACCTTTTTTATGTATTGCTCTCACTTCTATTATTAATCATTAAAATCTCTAAGGGCAGGAATCATTCCTTATACTTCTTTGCTATTCTACACAATTTGAGTACACTGTATGGCAAAAGGGAATAAGAAAAGCACAAGACCAAACAGAGAGCACCACTATACATTATAATGGTTGATTGCCTGTCTAAGCCCACATTACCAATATTTACAAGTCAGTTGATTACGAACCCAACAATCTCTCTGCCTGCTCACTTCCCTCAGCCATGCCATTTCCTCCC